AAAAAGATAAAACACAGGTGTTTGTCAAAGGCATGTTTTTTGCTCATAGCAGTACAAATGCTATGAACGAAAAGTGAATTTTTTTAAAGCTTATGTTTTAGAACGGTGGTTAGCAGCTTAAAATAGTTTTTATAAAACAGATAGAATTGTGCAATGATTTTAATGAATCTAGTTAGTATACTTTTACGGGCCTAACTAGTAATTAATAATATTAGAGAGGAAGAAATTTATTTATTACTTTGTCAACCAACAACAGACTGATTAAATCTGAAAGAAAAATTACATATCTTAGGGTTTGCGAATGGCAGTACTGTGACCACGTGGAAAATAAAAATATTTTATTTCGAGCAGAGGCAAGATATTTGTTTTCAAAATTCAATTAAATTTGAAATATAAATATAGATAAAAATGAAAATAATATATTAAATAAAAATGAAATATGTATTGCAGTGTGGTAACACAAAGCTTTTAAGCCGCTAATGTTTTGATCAAAAGTTCGTTAAATTCGCACAAAATAAGAAAGAAATGAAAATTTGCTTTGTATGAAAAGGACTTTAATGCAAAAATTAAATAAACGAAGATCAAGGTTCAGAATTCTTTAGAATTATGACCCAGTTTGCTGTAAGCTGGATGTGATATTTTCAGTAAAATTCTATAAAAGTCATCATCGCATGGTATTATATGAATCTGAATCAGATTGCTATCTTGTTTGTTGAAATTTACCGCAACGATTTAACAGTTTATGTCTGTTCGTATCAATTTAAAATTACGAAATTTATTTTTGACAGCGTATCTAAATGTATAAATCTAGACTCACGGCTTAAATTTGTTTTTTGTTGGTTCTGCCACTTGCTGAGAACAATTGAAAAGTCTGTACTAGCGGAACTTAATTTTCTGCAAATCCCGCAGTGCTGCTATCTACTGGCTAAAACAACTACTAAATATACTTAAAATTGGTTAAGGTTTGATTGGATACATGACACAATAGCGTTGCTCTACATATTAAACAGTACATATGCATCATACTTATTTTAAAGTTTACCTCAGAGCGTTTCTCAGAGTTACACTTTACAGTCCAGAAATATATTTTATGTTAGTTATTGGCACATAGTGATTAAATAGTGACTCTTTGAAGTCTGTGCACCTTTATGAACACTATTGTGTCCGTACGCTTTTCATCTTATTTTAGCAGAAAATGAATTTATTAGTTTGTAAATTCCAATCGATTAAGGAAAATAGCATTCAAGTAATTAAAAAGATTTTATTCACGAAACACGCATACAAATATTTTGTACAAATAAAAAGCTTATCTTAATGATCACAGATAAATTACAAATACTTGTTGGCAAAAACCATTCACTGATTAAGAAAAAAAAATTATATCTTAAGTCTGAAAATTTTTGACAAAGATTAAATTTCAACTGTTAACTTTAAGAAGCACCCAGAAAAACAAATCGGATATCATTTCAAACAAAATAAAGTTCAACAAAAAATAATTTCAGCTCTGAATGCCCAAATAATATAGAAGAAGACATTAATGGTAAGAATAAATTTGAATAGCATAAAGAGACGCATTGAAAGTTCAATAAATACACAAAGAATATTTACATGAACAAATGAGAAAGAAAATATTCAATTAAAAAATAAAATAAAATGTGAAAGCTTTCAGATTTTATATTATGCCCAAGCGGGCGTTTTTGTTATTTACAGAGACATATACGTTTCGAGAGCATTTGGGTTAATATCACTTTGGGCTAAAAATACTAAAAACGGCATATCTTTAGAATATTTCTGATAGACAGTCTCGTGCGCTGGAGCTCAAAATGTTTTATTCTCTTCAGTGTTGCCACTGCTTGCTTTGAAATTGTTGATTACTTAAAAAATTCATTAATGTTTTACAAAATATGAAATAGATAATAAAACAAATTTCAAATTCGGGCCTCCAGGTAGCCATGTTCGGACTATGTTATTCCAAATTTGATGACTTTAGGTACCGTTGTTTTTTCACGATGCGAGAAACATAAAATACATTCATGAAAATTGTTCATTATCTAGTTTCTTTAAATACAATGCAGGACAATAATATTTGGTGGGAACAACCTGAAAAGTGATTCGATCGTTTGCAGTGTTTTAACGCAAAATGCCATTTTGACACTAATAGCCTTTCTGGGATAACATTCATTTGGGTTTCCAATTGGAAGGGAATGCATTTATGAACCGCATACACATTTAAAATTCGAAGAAAACTGAAATGCCAAATACTAGAACACCAAAGATGCTCTTATGAAATCATCATTATTTCAAAGAACACGCCGTAGATACTCTAAGATGAGAAATTAGTTTTCCCAAATACTTCACAAGAAATATTACATTTATTACAATTATACATCATATTCTCCCCATCCTTTCCGCTCACCTCACTTGTGTAAAATATGCGAATTTATCCTTAATAATATTTAGATACTTAGGTGTGATATTCTTTTTTTTAACATTTGCATTAAGTCCATAAATATATAAATCATGTTTTGTATATTATGTACACATATACCTATACCTAAACAGATTTTAAGTAAATCAAAAAAGATAGAAGTTAATTTTTAATCAGCGTTTAAAAATAGCTGTAAGGTAAAGAAAATATTAACAATTTGCCTAACATTCATTTAGCAGGTAAATGAATTTTTAAATCATAGAGAATCTCAGGTTTAATATTACAGTGCATTTTTTAATAACAATAAAATTAAAATGTAAACAATTTCATTAAAAGAAAATCGTTGAGAAAAATGTCTTTTTACTTAAATTTTAATTAGTGTCATTACTGATTCAGAACATATATTCAGACTGTTATATTCAGATTGCAAAGCAATATGCTTATCATGACTATTTAAGTTAAATTATAATTTAATTAGTTCATTACTGTTCAGAACATATATTCAACTGTATATTCGATTGAAAAGCATATGCTTATCATGACTTTTAAGTAATATAAATTTTAATTAGTGCATTAACTGATTCAGAACATATATTCATACTTTATATTCAGATTTCAAGCATATGCTTATCATACTTTTTAAGTTAAATAAAATTTTAATTAGTGTCATTCTGATTCAGAACAATATTCGATGTTATATTCAGATTGCAAAGCAATATGCTTATCATGACTTTTAAGTTAAATATAAATTTTAATTAGTGTCATTACTGATTCAGAACATATATTCAGACTGTTATATTCAGATTGCAAAGCAATATGCTTATCATGACTTTTAAGTTAAATATAAATTTTAATTAGTGTCATTACTGATTCAGAACATATATTCAGACTGTTATATTCAGATTGCAAAGCAATATGCTTATCATGACTTTTAAGTTAAATATAAATTTTAATTAGTGTCATTACTGATTCAGAACATATATTCAGACTGTTATATTCAGATTGCAAAGCAATATGCTTATCATGACTTTTAAGTTAAATATAAATTTTAATTAGTGTCATTACTGATTCAGAACATATATTCAGACTGTTATATTCAGATTGCAAAGCAATATGCTTATCATGACTTTTAAGTTAAATATAAATTTTAATTAGTGTCATTACTGATTCAGAACATATATTCAACTGATTTAATCATTCATAGTGTGCAAAGACATTAAAGCAATGCTTATCATGACTTTTAGACTTTATATTCATATAATGACTTTTTAAACGAAATTAAAGCTAAATAACCTTTGTTTGAATAATGGGATTCTAGTTGAAATAACTGCATTAGTTTTTATATTATGTTGTAGTAATTAAATGCAAAATGTAGGAAAAATGTAAATAGGTGAATTTCTGGTTTAATGAAACAATTTTAAAATTTAATATAATAATTAAAATTAGCAATTAATTAATGAATATCGTTTCTGGTGTGTATACATACTATATTAAACTATGATTTTCCTGTTAAAACATTTTATTTTGTTTTCGAAATCAAAATAATAATAAATAAATAAAAACATTCTTATATAAATTTCGGTAAAAACCATGGACAAAAGGAGCTTCAGTATTTTGACATACACATATTTTGCGTATAAATAAAGTATTAAAAATCTGAAAGGTTTCAGATTTAAATTACGTCCAAAGGGGCGTTTTTAAACATTTTGTGTGTTCCTTCCTTTATTAAATATCATGTTCCTCGCACTTAAACATAAGATCAGTGCAACAGCAATATCGCAAAATATTTTAAAACGAGCATAGCTTTAGATTTCCCGATACCTCACGCGCTGGAGATAAAAAAAATGTTTTTTCTGCACAACGTTGCCATTGCTCGCTTTGAAATCCTTGAGTTTGTTTATCAAAAATTCGTCAAATTTTAAAAATAGGGAATCGATCATAAACAAATTCAAATTTCAAATTGGGTCTTCCACATGCTCATTTCGTGGGAGGATTACGTTTTCAAAATCGTGATCTATGTACGTTGTTTATCACAATACGAGAAATTTACATACATTTAGATGCAGATTTTTTTATTTTTTAATTTCTTCAAATATAATGCAGGACTCTAACATTTTATGGCAACAGTTTGAAAAGTGAACCGACATTTATCCGTACGACGCAAAATGCCAAAACGAAACTAATAGTCCTTCGGGATTCAAATCCCTTTGGACTAATAACTAAAAAAACATTTCATTGTTCATTTAAAGACATTTCTTTAGAGATTCATATTTTTGAATATGTACATGATTCCTCAAATCATAAAAATTTATTGCTAGAAGAATCTAGAAATTATACATTTATACGTCAAAAACTAGTCTTATAAACGCCGTGCTTCTTAATAAATTGTTTCCATTAGAACAATATTCTTTAGTAGCTAATGTTTTTAATTTCAACCAGAATTATGCCTTACTTTCATTACCATAAAGATCGTCTGTTACATATTCTAAATAAAATAATAACATTTATTTAATTGATGTTCAATTTTCAGTAATTAGTGTTTATTACGCTTTATTTTCATAAACATAAAAATCATCTGTTACATATTCGAAATAAAATAATAACATTTATTTAAATGATGTACAATTTTTAGTAATTAGTATTTATTATTACTTTCCAGTGATGGCTTGCTACTAGCAGAACTCGTATTTAAATTAGGTTTTGTGCAGGTTGCTAACGCTATGAAAGTTCTCCGAATTTCGGAACTGCACATGCAATAGACATAAAAGTTCATTGCGTAATTCGACAGCTCTAAAACATTAGCGATAGCCCTGAATAGCTGAAAACCAAAGTTAAATTCTTTATCATCGCTATTAAGTATCGTTAAAATAGCCGCAGGTGTCATGGTGATAAAGAAAAGTATCACAATGCCAGCTAACAATATGATGAGTCTTTGCTCTTCTCTGTATTTCTTGTTTCCATCCCTATGCTGTTGTGCGGCAGAGTTTGATGTAGACATATTGAGCATCTCTCTTCGTTTTTTGAGTGTTTTTCTGAAAGTCACTATGATGGTAGTATTCAAAATTGCTAATAACAAGACAGGACCTAGTCGAACAATCACTTCTTTTACCATGAGGTACACTTTAAAAACAGTATGCGATGTCACTGGTATATACTCACATGATATATATTCAATTTTCCTGCTGAATGGCAATTGCACGGCCACTGGTTTCTTCTGAAAACATACCGGTATATACAAAACGAACGCTGAAATATAAGCTGCTGTTATTGAGCGTTTGGCCCGTTGTGTATTATGCACTTCTTTAAATCTCGTTGGTAAGCACACAGAGAAATACCTATCAATCGTTAAAGCTACAACTAAGAACACACTGCTTGCCATGAAGGCATTCACAAGTGGCATTTCAATATGTGAATAGTATACAGCTGCAGTGTACGTCCTTGGTTGCATACCGTGAAGTCTAAACATGGAACTCAAACTCACCACAAGAGACATGAGATCAGATATGGCTAGCCATGTTAGGTAAACAAACGTAACTCCTTTGAGGTTGGGTCTAGTAAGAACGGCTAAGTTTATGAAATTTCCTAGAATTCCAAGGGCAATAATGATTGAGCTCACTACGCCATAGGCGATGAATTTTAATTTTTCCACGTTCTCATTAGAAGAGTTTTGAAGTTCTGGAGGTATTTCAAAAAATGATGATATATTGACCGAAACTGTAGAGTTGGTTCCTATACTTCCGAGCTGGCTGTCTGGAGTTGGACATTCCCCCATTAAGTATTACCTGCAATAAAAAATGACGATATTAACACACACAAAAAAGCGTAAATATAGCTCATGAATTCGCATGAAAATTATGGAACCTGACGTATGGAACAAGAAGATGAACAAACATCAAGGACATCAAGGGATGAACATCAAGGTGTTCATTAATCATGGGAAAATAATCAGTACTCTAATTATAATATTTAGGAACGCTAACGTTTACGTAATCTGATTATCTAAGAAGTTATGCAAATCAATATTATATAAAATACTAATTCTGTACAACAGGCATAATCAAGTCCGGTTCGTGAATCGAATGCCGCATGCAGAAATGCTAATCGAGATCAAATGAAATATAGTTTTATTTTGGAGAAATGTTAATATCAGTGGTTCGCAATCTGTTTTGCTCATATACTCTTTTTACCACTGTCTCCTCAGCCTTTCGAAAGCTTGAAAAGTACATACACATTTATTTAGACACATTTTTTTTACCAGCATATCAAGAGGCAGACGGAGTCCTGCTTCTTGATGTGCTGGTAAAAAATAATCTATGTCTAAATAAATGTGTATGTATTTTTCAAGCTTTCGAAAGGGAGAGAGGAATTATGATCTTTTAGCAAGGGTGAAAGAGATGCATGGAACAAAAAAAGGCTGACCACCATTGCACTTAACTGACAGGCTTCAAACGTATGGTAACATAATGTAATTTAATGCTAAGGAAAAACGAAGAGAATGAGCGATATATCTATGTAAATTTAAGACTTCAAATTTTTGTCATCAAAGAGAATATTGACTCTGTAAAGAAAATTTTTGAAAGTCAAATAACCAAAAATTTTATTAGAGTAATAAAGATTATTTTTTTAAAAGTTGCATGCAAAATGTAGGATCATATGTCGACAATGGGTTCGACTGTAAGTTGAAGTTTTAATACGGCATTATCAAAAGTTGCATGCAGTAATTTTGTCAAGTAAACAAAACTCTGTCAAGTAGCAAACGATAATTTATGAATTTCAAAAATATAGTTGTAGTTAAAAAAAATTCCAAGCAGGAGATTGTTTTTTACAGCAAAGCAAAGTAGTCTAGCCTACGTATAAGATGTGGTCTCTTCTTAACAGTTATGTTGTACTTCTTGGAACACATCTGTTTTCCGCTACTAAACACAAGTAAACAAATGGTAAGTAAGCACTATTAAACTGTTGCAAACGCAAGTAAATTAGGAGGTGCAACAAAATAGTATCAAATAAAAGATAAAACTACAAAAGCTGGTTAAATTTTTGAAAAGTTAATTTTTACTTCCTTGTACGAAGTAAGGCTATATTACGATACGATTATCCTGAAAATACTGCATTATAAAGTGCTTACGTTGCAACTATAATAATCTCTAAGCCTGCCTGCCACATTAAAGCTTTCAGCAATCAATATTTCGTTGAAATTCATCGCAAAAGAAGGATGTCTTCTTAATGATTAATTTGAGTAACAAAACGCAAAGCGTTTCAAAAAAGAAACTTCAGAACTTTTTTGCTCTTACGTGTGTTGTAATGTTATACGCTTCTTTTTGGACTGCAAGAAATGGTGACTTTTTATTGTACCCTAACAGCGGGGAGTATGTGTAAAAGTTATAATATATGAGAAAAGACCCACCCCTTGACAAATGATGATTGTGAAAGTGTCGCCTGGCGATGCAATTTAGTTATGAAAAATGAAATAAACGATTCATTTTGTTCCACGGGGGACTGTCTGTAATGTCGCAGCTGCGGTACATTCCATCTGAAGGTGACAGGCATACTGCAGAGAAAGGAGTAATGGTGAAACTACGACTAAAAAGAGAAGAAAATATCCAGAAGAATGATTCGAAAAGTTGGATATCACGTGTTTACTGTAGAAAACAGCAGAGTGCCCCTTTTGGAGAATTCTTGTGCTCTTATTTTAACTCACTTAAGATGTTTCTTTGATGCAGCTCTCTCTTTCACGGTTACAGCGATTTATGAAGGATCAATTAAAATAAACCTTATATATAGCAAAATCTCTGACTGTTATGTTTGCAAAATAACTTCACATATCATACTCATGATTATCAAAGATTAATATGTTTAATTAATCTCTAATTTTATTTATTGTTAGATTTTAATTCATTTCCTTATTTCGATTTAATTCAAGACGGATACTTTTTATTGTGTAGAGAGTTAAACTAGTTATTAAAGTCTATTTTTCTGCGTTTACCACCTTACATTACATTTCATTATATCTAATGCCTCGCATTTTTATTATTACATAATGTTATGGCATATTGCCAAAAAATAATCATTCATGTTGACACAGAGATGTAAGATCTTTGATTCTTTGCTCTCAGCTTCTGAGCGCATTTGTCAGATGTGAATAAACTTAATAAAAATGAAAAACGCACGTACGCGTTGAAAGAAATGTTACCCTAGGAAACAGCGAAAGTGTGTTGCTATTTTAACTTTTTTATTTTTAAATTTTGCGCTTATTAAACTTTAAAAGTTGACACATTTGCTTGTTTATTTCACAGCGATTTTAACAGCTCTTTTCTGAGCTGAATATGTATTTTGTTTAAATTTCCGATTTAATTTTTTACTTTTATCAGTAGTTATTTCAATCTTATATCACATAATTGGATATTGGCTTAGAACTTTTTCTTAGTTCTTCAGCCTATTGTATTATATATATGTGATGTACCAGCTTTTGTCCGGAATAAATAGATTGGTGACTTACAAATTTCTTTCCGTTGTTGATATTGTTGTTAGATTTATTTCCAATTTTTTGAAAACTATGGGGTTTGTAATTAGATGCATTGGGTCGATTATCAACAAACTGACGATTATTATTTCGGAAATTAGTTTGTCTGAATTGTTGACTATTCCTATCTCTGTTATAATTTTGCGAATTTTCATCTTTAAATTCATGAATTTGTCGAAGTTTGTGGGCTTGTTCTAGCCAAGTTATCGGATCAGCGGGACTTTGAAAAAGCATCAAAGACTTTAAGTTCGTTGGAAAACCATCTGTCAAACCTTCTAAAATAATTGATTTATCCAAATTAAGCCGCTTACCCACTTCAATTTTCTTTCGAAAGTAATTTGTGATGTCTTCTCTGGCGTTATATTTAAATTAGCGAAGTCGCCGAAAGTAGTTAAGGTGGGATCGATAAAGTTTTCTTTTAATATTTGTTCAAATTCTGAGTAAGTTTTTAGGTCATGGCAATTTTTAATATAGAGTCAGAGGGCTTTTCCCTTAATGTAATGAGAAATATTTTGAAGTTTCCAATTTTCGTCCTTATTTTGGCAGACTTTGTTAAAATAACCTAACCAAGAAATTATGTCACTGTCCTTAGAATCTTCAAATGGAGTAATATTTAAATCTATTGTATCTTGATTCACGTTTAGTGAATCGTCAAGATAAACGGGTTCCTGATTTGTCGACATTTGTAACTGAAACTTTAAAATTTTCTTGAGAACAAAATGTGCACTTTTCTCAAAATATTTTTACAATAGTTAAAAATATTTTTTTTTTTTTTTAAAACAAAAAACTCTTCAGAGTATTATCAACACTTCATAGAATAATAGACTTAGATAAAAATTTTGTATTCCCAAACTTTTATGATTATCACTACACATTTCGGGATAATATTAAATCTTACTTAGAATACTATTAATTAGAATAAGACTTGAAATTTAAATAAACTCTAATTACGTTAACATAATATATTTAAACTGAACTATTGTCGTAGCATCTTAGTTTACACAATGAGAAAAAATAATTTCTTAAAATCTGTTCTTACTTGGCTATTTAGTGCGCTATTTAATCCTGCTCGTTTGTGTGCAGTTAAGTAAAAACACAGCATAAATGATTGAAATTCTTCAGCTTCTTTCCAACAGACGATATACAAATCATGCGGTTCTAACTATGAGACGCGCTCAAAATGCGAAGACAAAGCTGTATCACAATTCACAATTCTTCAATTTGCAAGTACTTGACTATTTCTTAACATTTCCTTTTGAACTTTTAGTTTGTTTACAGTATTTCATTTGACTACTTTCATATAAAAACACTTATTTTGATAATAATCATTTTACACAATAATTTTACTCGTATTTTAACTTTTACTATCGACATTAAAAGTACATTGCTAATGTAATTAAGAGCTAAATTACTTTGGATTTAAACTCTTAATTACATTAGCAATGCACTTTTAATTAATAATTTTGTTTCCTAGTCGATTTGCTTACTAAATTTCACGAAATTCTTTAACAATTAAAATTTCTTATTTTAGCATATATTTGGTTTTGAATAATAGAGGTATCACAAGAGGTATCGACGGCCTCATCCGCGACCATGAGCGCAAACACGCATGCGCCATTCGGACCGAATTATTCTCAAAATAGGGTGGAATGATGGGGACTTTTTTTCCTTCTGGAGAAAAGACCTTTCACTTCGCAGCAAGTAATACCGCCCCTTTTGGACGAGTCTATGCGTTTTGGCAAAATGCCAACCAGGGTTGCGCTATAGACGGTCGAACTATATCTGCATTAATCGCTATCATGCGGCTTCCATCCCTCGGTGATTATCTCCCTCTCGAACTCTAACAGCCGAAGATATTGTCTTTGTTGTTAGTGCAATGGCATCCCTGATGAAAACGCGTCCTTCTGCAACAGATTAAGTAAAGGCCTCTGCATATCTTTTTACGTTCCAAAGAGATCGAAATTCAACGCTCTGTAGTTCAGTTACGCAATATACAAATAAGCTGTATTTTTACTATTTTTGTATCTGCCTGACATGCACCTTCATGCTATGGGCCGTTAGAATACAACAATTACTTCTTGGGGGGCAAATTATTATGACAATGAGTGTGTTCCTGTCACGTAGAACGTCGCCAGTCGTTGACGAAATTTGGTGTGATTCATTTAAATTATGGCAAAGCCTACGAAGACTTCTTGCCTAAAGAAAGGAATGCCTTCACGGAGGATTTTTTTGAAGAAAAATAACTTATATTCTTGA